ACAAAATCTTTGACACACAGACACCTACTTTTGACCCTTGATGTTACAATAACTCGCGAAAAACTCAATATTATGAGCTCAAATTTTTACTGAGAACTATCAATGGTCAGATACATATTCAATAAAAATTTCAGTAAGATTGAGTGTTCTGGGAAAAACAAATTTAGAGGGGTGGGGGGCCCTTAAGCGTGAGGATGTGAGATAGATGAAGTAACCACGACCAGTTTCGACCTTGCTTAAGGGTTTCACCACATGACTTAGTAATTGAACTATCTGTGCGAATGATCTGATGATCATAAATAAGATATTCGAAGACTAATTTTAATCTAGAGTGAGTTATTTGATGATGATGCTGTTGGTGGTCTTTGTTTGGAAACCTGGAATTTAATGTGTTCTTCGTAGTCTTTTTCTATATCGTTTATTATTCGCTTTAAAAGTTTTTATTCGAGAGTTAGCTGCAGTTTAAAAAAAGAACTTCAGGAAGGAAAGACAAGGATAAGTCTAGCTTTGAGTGTGGGTGTGAGTGTGGGTATAAACGAAGAGAACACCCACACCCACACCCTTTGGAAGAGTAATTTGTTTTTATATCTTTTTCAATTTGATAATTGGGTTCGTTAATAATAAAAGGTACTTTTATCGGTGTATTTTCATCCTGCTTAGGATTACGATTGTGGGTTTTTACGCATCATCCACATCACAAACCCACAGATTTGAGAAATTATTGCCTTTTCCTGTCAAGATTCTCAGTACTTACGAAAGCTTTTGTGCTCGAGTAGATCAAGCATTATATGTATGAGAACAGTGAGATAATCTTTCTAATCAAGCCATGCTCATTATAGCATAGTAGAAATACTTCTCAATATGTGCAATTAACCAATAAAGAAATTTTTCTCGCAGATTAACATCATATTAGTCATGATTTTTAATATTTCTCTTTGATTTATGATAGCTGTTAGCTTTTTACGATTTTTCGTGTACTGGCAAAGAAACTGGGACGAAATAATTCAGAGACAGAAACTCCAAAGAATTTTTCAAAAATTTGCAACAAATAATTGTTCAGACTGTCGATGAGCACTCCTAGTGCTAAACTGTACTTGAGTTTGCATTATTAGTTTATGCTAGGACCAATCTAGAAGAACATCTAGACACATGCAACGAGAGAAATCGATATGGATATATGTTGAAAGACGAAGCAAACACTCATCTTATTACATAGACATCGATCCATTCAGTAGCACCCACGAGCACTGTTGTATCCGTAATATGTGAAAGTCCAACTTAATTTTGTCTACTTTCAATCAAACTGAAAGTACCTGTGGATTTTATTCTCTTTCAAAGTCAAAGTTAGTACAAAAGCTTTTCTATATAGTTCTTTCATTATTCAATTAAATATCTTTGGCAAATATCTGGTCATTAGATATTTGAAGCATCATCATCCGACCATTCTGCTATTCTACATTCATCCAAGTCGATCTCTACACTACCAGAAGATGTCTTTTGGACACGAGTGACAGTAAAAGCCGAAAAGGGAAAAATTAAAACTTCACTTTCGACTGGAATATTGGATAGCTCTTCAATATCATACGCCGTTGTTAAGTTTCGGATATCGTACCTGCAAAGAACATTAACACATGCAGGGTCTTGTGTTGACGATGGTTCACGTCCTTGAATGCCACCAAATATCTCGGCTATGATACGATTTTTCGATGCTGAAAGAAAAGCTGTGTTGAGAACGTGAGAACCCACTACATATCTATAAAGATCTTCTTGCGTCATCAACATGCCACGATATACATGTCCAGTAAATGATCTCTGATAACGCATATCCTTTAAAATCATAGCAACAATACTGAGAAGACAATAAATGAAGCTATAAAGAGTAGATATGTCAAATGACGAATCAAAATAGGTCAATGCATATGTGGCCAAATGGCGATTGATATATTTGTGAAAGCGACCAGTACTTGTATACGCACAAATAAATTTATGAGCAGAAGTATATCCTATTGACTGCAGTTGATCAATTTCTTTACTAGAAACCCCTTCAAGTGCTAGATAACAACAAACGTAACGGCGAGAAATACTTTCAAAAGAACCACTGATAAAATGATTCCGAGTAACATACTGACGAATTTGAGCTCTCTTGATGGCTGGTTCTCGATAAGCTACAGTCCATTCAAGTAAGTCACCAGCAAAGCGAGGTAGCACACGTTGATACTGAACAAATATTTTCTTAGTTTTTTCATCTTTTGCTTGACTAAATGGTGTGAGGCCATCTCTATTTTTTTTTATCATTAAATCACCATGTTCAAGAAGTAATTGAACAATGTCATGATGCCCATGATACGATGCAATGTTAAGTGCAGTAGTTTTTTCGTACTTTTCGACTCCATTTAAATCGTCTATTGTATGCGATTGAAGAATGTTACGGACATGTTGAATATGATTGTGTTCACACGCATCATGCAATTCTTTTATAACTTTTATCATTTTTTCTGGAACTTCGAATTTTGTCGTTTGTCCATTATTAGTCTACAATACACAGAAACATTGCAAAATGTAAATTACTGTGTTCAATCTGATTTCTCAGAAGAATTCCTCGGAATTCGTTTAATTAGAGTTGTGTATCATAGGGTCTTTTAGCTTTTCTTTGAAAATGTTATCGTACAAAATATGATCAATCAAAATCTTTGATTGTCAATAAGAGATATCCAAACCAAAAGAGTTCATACACCCGAACCTTGAAAGATGAAATATAGCTAACTGCATACTTGCTACTTAAAGATTAGTCAAAAATTAGTAAAATCGTTGAAAAAAACAAGATGATCGGCTATATTGAAAAATTATTTAATACGAGAATATTATACCTCTACTGATTGCTTTGGGATATGATGATCTCGAACTTGCTGAATTAATCGTGACCCCTTATTTGTGTCTTCATCTTTCATATCATCATTGGTGTGCCGATTTATTTGTCACGGCTCGCTGCTCTTCTTGTTTCCTGTTTCCTCTTCTCGTCTCTATTGTTCTCTCTGTGACATCTCTCTCTTTGTTTCTCCATCATATATAAGCTTGTGTTCAATATGAAATAGACACATTCGGGAGACGTAAAGTAGCTAGTAAAAATCAGTACCCGGGGTGACGGCGAGCTATTTCTCCATTCTCTCATCCCATCTTCTTTCATTTTATCATTACAATTGGTCTGATTCGTTTGATTTCTGCGTGTCAACCATTGTTGAAAATCATTAATTTGTGCTTTGTAGTTAAGTTGATCATTGATAATGTACATTACGTGAATCGTTTTTGTCACATCATTTGATTGTCGTTTATCGATTGCACCGTTAAAAAGAGCAGCAGGAATACGAAGGAGTAATTTAGGTATATCTTTCTAACTCTGCTTGTTACATTCTTGATAGATATTCGTATAATTGGAAGCATTTTTTATCGAGTCTTTATCAATATCTTTGAGCTTGGATAATTCTTCGAGTAATTGCAAGCGTGTGTCTCTGAGTTCGTCGTTAGGTTCAGAAAAATCGATTGTAGATGTCACTGACGATTTAAGAATATGTCGTAGCCATGGATGTTGTTCTTCGAAACCATGTTCGATAAGTATAGGAATTAGACGATGTTGAGACTTGAAGGCATACTGAAGTTCCGCTTGTCTTTTTGAGCCATTTTGATAATTGTTAGTCAAGCAACAAATGATACAATAAATCTTAAAATCATTGGAAGAATCTATGAACTTGCTATTGAACTCCAGATTGTATCCTGTCCCTTTCATTTGATTAATAATGACTTGACACCTTTTCTTATCAATGTCACTACAGTGTACAATGATACGGCTCTCGATATGGATAGCTTGCACTAAATGAAAATATATTAGTATTCGACACCCTGTAACCTCGTTCGGCCGAAAGAAACCGGTAAATATATGGCGTCGGTCAGTGTTTAAAACACAATCATATACACAAAACTGAACTCAATGAGTAGAGTATCAACATAACAAAAAGCCATCCCTGTGCCTTACTGTAGCATCAACAGAAATATTTTTAGATCTTCTGAAATAACGAAGGGGCTTTAATAGCCTATTCATGGATTTTTAGACGAAATTCGTAAGGGAATTAGTGTTAGAAAGGATATGCGTTCAATGCTATTAGTTAAGAAAACAGCATTATCTACAAATAAAACGAGGGTGTGGGTGTGGGGTGTGGGTGTGGGTGTGGGTGTGAGTGGGTGTGGGTGTGGGTGTGGGTGTGGGTGTGGGTGTGGGTGTGGGTGGTGTGGGTGTGGGTGTGGGTGTGGGTGTGTCCTGTCTTCATATAAATGAACACACCCCACACCCACACCCACACCCACACCCATACCCACACCCACACACCCTCAAAATGTAAAGTGTCATTGGCATGATCATAAAGATATTCAAATTTTACGATACTCATAGCTAAAGAAAACAAAAGTTTATGATATGAGGAGCTGCTTTCATTGCTTCTTTTGCACAATCAACTGGGTGGGAGTGGGTGTGGGTACCGATGTGGTTATGGATCTGGGTGAGTGTGTCTATGTGGATGTGCGGTGGGGTGGGGCACCGATGTGTGTCAGGATGCAGTTCTCGGTCTGAATGAGTGTGTCTATGTGGATGTGCGGCGGGGTGGGGCACAATTGTGCGTCAGGATGTTGTTATGGGTACTTTTTACGATGCCGTTGTCGTGGCTGCGGTTTGGACGTGGGTATCGAGCATGGCTGTGGGAGTCAGAACAAATTCATTTACACTCTCATATCCACCGCCTACACACTCACCCCCATAAAAACACCGCACACCCACGCCCACAATCACACCACACATCCATACCCAAACCCGATGATACTCAAGATATCTCTATTCAGAAGTAAACTCTAATTATAAAAAAAACTGAATTTATTTTTTATTTTTCTTACTACAAAATGGTTTTCCGATAATACTCATCAGTGTTTTGCTTGAAAGATAACTTATAATTATAAAACATATCTGACTTTCTTTCTTCATTTTACTTCCTACAATATAATTTTCGACTAATACTTACCATACTTCTATTCAAAAGAAACTTATGATTGTCTAACCGATCTTAATTTCATTTTTCGTTTTTACTACTATGAAATGGTTCCGGAATAATACTCATCATATTTCTATTCAAATATAACTTATTACAATAATATCAATGTGAACTGCTTTTTTTGTTCTTATCACTATCAAATCATATTCAAAAAATACTAACCACCTCTCTGTTCAACAAAAATTCTCAATATAAAAAAATCTGATATTTTTTTCTTATTCTTATTCCTATGAGATGATTTTCAAATAATACTCACCATATGCCTATTCCAAGATGACATATGATTATGAAAAAAAAACTGCATCTCTTTCTTTATGCTTATCACTATGAAATGACTTTGGAATAATACTCAAAATATTTCAATTAAAAACTAGCTTATGATTATGAAATTAATCTGAATTTTCTTTTTAATTTTTATCTCTGGGAGATGATTTTCCACTAACACCCACCATATTTCTATTCAAAAACAATTTATGATTATAAAATAAATCTGAATTCCTTCTGTGCCTTTTTTTCACTATAAGATCATTTTAAGAAAACACTTGCCATACTTCTATTCAAAGCAACGTATGATTATAAATTATATCTTAATCTCTTTCTTTATTTTTATCACTATAAGATGATTCCAGAATAATACTGAGAATATTTCTATTCACTAATGGCTTATGATTACAAAATCAATCAGCATTTTTTTCTATTTTTTTTCTATTAAATGATTTTCGAAAAATCCTCAGCATATTTCTATTCAAAAATCAGTTTTAATCATGAAATAAATCAGGATTTCTTTTTTTATTTTCATCTGTGTGAGAGGATTTTCGACTAACACTCACCATAATTGTATTCAAAAATAGCTTGTGATTACAAAATAAATCTGAATTTCCTTTTTTTCTCTCAATATCAGGTGATTTTCAACCAATGCCCACCATATTTCTATTCAAAAATAACTTATGATGAAAAAATAAATCTGAATTTCTTTTCTTTATATTTCCCACCAAGAGGTGATTTTCGACTAATGCTCAACATATTTCAATTCAAAAATAAGTTTTAATCATTGAATAAAACTGAACGTCTTTTTTTTATCTCTGTGAGATGGTTTTCGACTAACACTGACTATATTTCTATTCAAAAAAACTTATGCTTATAAATGAAATCTAGCTTTTATTTTCATTTCTGTCACTATCCGGTGATTTTCGACTAATGCTCAGTATATTTCTATTCAAAAATAAGTTCTGGTCATTAAATAAATCTGAATCGCTTTCTTTATTTTTATCACTATAAAATCATTGTCGAATAATACTAAAAATACTTCTATTCACAAATGACCTATGATGATAAAATAAACCGGAATTTCTTTTTTTATTTCTCTCACTATGATTTGATTTTTGACTACTGCTCAGCATATCTCTATTCAAAAAGAAGTTGTGATCATTGAATAAATTTGGACTTCTTTTTTCATTTTTATGCGTGTGAGTTGATTTTCGACTAACACTTAGTACATTTCTATTCAAAAAAAAACTTGTGCTTCAAAAAAAAATATGAAATCTTTTTTATTTTTATCAGTATGACGACATTCTCGACCAATGCTTATCACATTTCTATTCAAAAACAACATATGATTATAGAATGAATCTGAATTTCTTCCCTTCTTTTTCTCAGTGTGAGATGACTTTTGACTAATTCTTAGCATATTTCTATTCAAAAATAATCTATGCTTATAAAGTAAATCTGAATGCCTTTTTTATTTTTATCACTACAAGATGATTCTGGAATAATACTGAAAACATTTCTATTTAAAAATAAAGTGTGATTACGAATTAAATCTGAAATTCTTTTTTTATCTCTCCCACTATGAGGTTATTTTCGACTAATGCTCACCATATTTCTATTCAAAATAAGTTGTCATCATGAAAAAAATCTGAATTCCTTTTTTTTCTGTCACTATGAGCTCATTTTCGGCTAATGCTCACGATATCTCTGTTCAAAAGGAAGTTGTGATTATTGAATAAATCTGGAATTCTTTTTTAATTTTTATGTCTATGAGATGATTTTCGACTAACACTGACTACATTTCCATTCAAAAATATCTTACGATGAGATAATAAATCTGAATTTCTTTTTTTATCTCTTTCACTAGGAGGTGATTTTCGACTAATGCTCATGCTCACCATATTTCTATTCAAAAATAACTTATACTCATTAATTAAATTTCAATGCATTTCATTATTTTTATCACTATAAGATGATTCTGGAATAATATTGAAAATGTTTCCATTCCAAAATAACCTATGATTAAAAAATAAATCTGAAGTCCTTTTTTTTATTTCTCTAACTATGAGGTGATTTCCGACTAATGCTCACCATATTTCTATTCAAAAATATTGTCTGCTTATAAATTAAATC